CTTCTCTCTCTCTATATATATATATATATATATATATATATATATATATATATATATATCATAAGAGCTTTTATTAAATATTTATCTTAATAGGAGGATATAATATGTGTATGGAATAAGACTGCATCTGATTATGCAACAACAGCACGTATTAGAGATACATTAAGGAGAGTTTTACATCTTCCAGCAAGTGCCTCAATGGAATACAAAACTCATAATGAAAGTTTAAAGAATGTTCATCGGCTCTAAAATCTTGTGATGTCAACTCAAAGATTTGAATTCTTTATGGATTTTAAGGTAAATTATATTAAATTATTATAAAAGAAAAGATTTATATTTATAAATATTTGTGTACTTCTATATCTAGCCAATTGATACTTGTGAGAAGATACTTAGGAGAAAAATATTTTACAACTACAGAATTTAAATGGTCATCTTATTGGATAACACATTTAATTCACAAGTATCCCCATTGTAACTTATGTAAATAATAAATATATGTTAATAATAAAAAAATAATCTTATTTCCAAAATATGATAAACTTTTATAAGACTTTTAGATTTTTTACTATATAATTGAATAATTGGATTATATAATTATATTATGACATCATAAACAATCGTTTTATATGTTAAATATTTTTATTTAAGAATACTTTAGATTTGGAGCTCATTTTAGGAATATTCATAGGATATACATTATAGGATATTTATACATTTTTATACGAAATCATATTTTTTAAGAATATGTGCATAATTATTAATTATTAGTGATGTTTTTGTACATAATGCTTTTATAAACAAAGCACTTTAATCGAAATGTAGATTTTGATATAAATATTAATATATTTTTATATCTTAATTTGAAATATGTAAAAAGGCTATAATTTTTCGTTAAAATTTGAATATATGTACAAATTTGTTTTATGCATACATAAGGCAATGAAGCACAAACTTGAACAAGAATATTTAGCATCATTAAAAGAATAAAAGATTTAATAAATATTTTTAGTCACAATATAATGACAGCTTATTATTTAAGACTAGAATCAGGTATATTTAGTAACAAAAAAAAGGCTCAATGCCAAAAAAAAAACCTATCATTAATTGTGCTTTTATTTCATGATTCTAATCATTGTATAAAGTTTTTTTTATGTATAAAGACAAAAAATTACAACCTTAAAATAATAATTGTGACCATACCTGTAATAAATGAAAAGATTCTGTTCATGTGTTTTTTTTAAATATAAATAATATACTTACCTAATACAAATGAAAATATTAATTTAAAGTTTATGGAGAGATGAAGATAATCAGGCACTCTATTATTCTGTTCTCCTTCTGTAGGTAAAAGTAGTCCAGCTATACAAATAATTCCAGCAATTAGTGCTACATAATTTGTTCCTCCTAAAAATGAAATTTATTTTATGTATTATTTTAAATTTTACATAAAATAATTACTAATTATTTGAAGTATTTTACTTTTTTTATGATTTATTTGTTATTGTTTATTATATTTGCTTCTTAAAAATGATATTTTATATTTTTCTTATGCAAATAAATTTTAATTATTAAAATATAATATGATAAAAATATATTTATTATATATTTAAATATTTTTATCATATTATGATATAAAAATATATAAAAATATAAATGAAATTGAATGGCATTAAAAATATGAAGTACTATATGATTTCAAATTAAGTGAAACATTAAATATATAGTATTTAAATCCAAAAACTAATTTTAAATACTAACTTATTAACCTTTATCCATAGCATACTTCATATCTGATGACAGGTACATTTTTGTATTCTTATTTTGAATATTTCCATGAAATAAATCATATTGTAACTTTATTGATTTTGATGTGTATTCTGTAATTATAAATAATGATTTTGCCATTCAGATAAATCTATCATATTATTATGATATCTCATAAAATATATTTTTTTACTAATAATTATAAATAATGTTTGAAACTTACTATCAATTGCTTTATTTTGAGCTATAAGAGCATATGATTGTTGCTGTCTATTTTCATTTATTGGAAGTTGTTGAAACATTTCAGGATCTGGTGTAGATCTTCCAGCTGTTTCTGTTGTTCCCGGAAGTAATTTAGCTTCAACATCTCTTTTTCCTATAGCCTATTAATTTTCCGAAAGAATTAAATTATATTATTTTGATGAATTTTATTTATATTAAAATATAATTGTTTAATTACCAGTTTCGATGGATGTTCTTGCATTTGTATTCTAAATTTATCAACAACATTACAATTACTAGATATAAGAGATGTATGTCTTACAACAATATCAATACAACATCTTGGATTTATTGTTCCTTCTGGTTCAACAACTTTATATTTATTTGGTGCAGTACATAATACTATAATTGCAAATAAATTATATTAAACTTTTATTTAACTATTAATCTTTTCATAATACATACCTTTAAATCTTATTGGAAAATCATATGGGTTATATAAAGTTAAAACTTGTTTATGAGTAGACTGATCGTCTAAAAAGAAAGTAATATTTTGTGGAAATACAAAAACTGGTAATTTTCGTGGTGTTGCTAATTGAGACTGCATTATATTTGTTTAATTTTATGTGGTCCATGCACCTGTAAATCATATTTATGTTATATATATTTGAATTATTTTGATCTTTGATAATATGATAGATATATATATACTTTATATTTTAAAATATTTTAATATTTACTTTATATATTTCCAATTGGTTTAATACAAAAGTTTAATTTGTATTTAATTCTTTATATTTCAATATTGCAACATTTATAGCAGATAGCCATGGTTAGATGTTTAACTTAAAAAACCTAAAAAAACTACATATTTTTAGAATTATAAAAATTAGGCTAAAAATTATATATTAATAAATTTTAAATATTAAAATAATTGCTAAAAATAAATGAAAATGCTAAAATGAATATTAGAGCATTTACATATAAAGTTTCAAAAACTGCAAACTAATCTAATTTTATATGTTTAAAAAATATCCAATTATTTTATGAAATAATTTAAATAATTTAATCAATTACGATTAATTAAAAATTAGTAATATAACAATTTGTGTAAAGTTGAATATTTACAAACTTATTAGCATCATAGGTCCATTTGATTGAATACTGCACTGTCGATCTTCCTAGTGAAACAATTGTTCATGGTATTCACCATACATCACTTTTCATATACCAACATTTACTATTGTGCGTGTGAACGAACAAGTTGGTTGTGATTTTTTCACCTTTTTTCTAACTTATTATAAAATCAGCTGATTATTTCATCCTTCCTATTAAAGGATTTAAATGGTATCAAAAATTGTTTTATTCATACATTATTTCTATATAATTCAATCAATGTGTTCAATAATAATAAAATTTAATATTTAAATATTTCAATATGTGTGAATTGGTTAGAAATATTTATAAGATTATATATAATTTACCTGATTTATCTAATCATATTATTAATATTATATGACCTACTATGACCTAGTTTTCGTTTTACATGCAATAAGAAATTCAATCTGAAGATAGAAAGAAATAAATTTCAATTGAATAAAATTTAGTTAAAAAATATTACATAAATATACATTCGGGGATAAATCAATCGTATACTAATATAGGGAAAAAATATATATATGTTTTGTTGGCAGCCATACGTATAATATTAATAATACTTGTATGAATTCGACAATATGGCACCGGATAGTTAGGCTTATGAGTAATTATATACTTACGTTAGCGAAATTTTATTGATACAATAATATTGATATAACAACGTCGTTTCAATATGCATGAGGATGATTAAAATACTACGTACATTTTAAAAAATAGGTAGTATATTACATAAAAGAAGTAATTTACAAAAAAATCTAACCTTATTGCGGAATTTTCGGTTTTTGAATTTCATCAGTATTTTTATTTTTTAATATAACGGTAAAACAATATATTTTCATAAATATATTTAATTATACTAATATATATTATTTTTAAATTTAATAAATATTTTTAGAAATATTTTTAACCTTCTTTTGGATTATTTAATTATGAAATTATATATTAAAAATTATAGTTTGTATTATTTTATAAAAAATATACGAAATTTATAAAAAATATAAATTTAATTTTTTTAAAATATTTTTAGGAAAATATAAAAGAAGATATCATGGTTACTGTTAATCCCAGAGTATTTTTTGATATAGAGGTGGGTGGTCTCCCAATGGGCCGCATAGTATTTGAACTCTTTGCGGATATTTGCCCAATAACATGTGAAAATTTTCGTGCCCTATGTACTGGAGAAAAAGGACTTGGAAAAACAACTGGCAAACAATTACATTATAAAGGAATTGTTTTTCATAGAGTAGTTAAAGATTTTATGATTCAGGGTGGTGATTTTTCAGTAGGTAATGGGACAGGAGGAGAATCAATTTATGGTGGAACATTTGCAGGTATTTTTATAAATATATTGGCTATTATTATACATAAATATATGTGACTTTTGTAATAATATTTTTCAGACGAAAATTTTATTTTAAAACATAATAAATCATTTTTATTATCAATGGCAAATCGTGGTAGAGATACAAATGGTTCACAATTTTTTATGTAAGTATTCATAAAAAATATAAATATATAAACTTTAATGAAATAATATAAAAATGTATTTTAAGATAGCATAAATTAATTAATAAAATCCATAATAGAAGAAAAATAGAATGATATATATATGTATATGTATATATATATATATATATATATATATATATATATATATA